GCTCCTTCTACTGCTGACCCGTCGCTGTTTCTGCGCACCGACACTTCTTTGCCGCCGTTCTACATCCTCGTGTACGTCGACGACTTGGTCTTTGCCACAGCGGACACTGCTGGACTCGCCTACGTGAAGTCCGAGCTGCTGAAGAGACACATGTGCACAGACCTGGGTGAACTGCGCAGCTACCTTGGCTTGCAGATCACTCGGGACAGAGCACGCCGCACCATTACCTTGACTCAGTCACACATGGTGCAGCAGGTCCTCCAGCGCTTCGGCTTCACGTACTCCTCGCCTCAGGCCACTCATCTGTCTACTCGCCATTCGCTCTCAGCTCTGCCTTCGGATGAGTCCGTAGAGTCGAGTGGCCCGTACCCAGAGCTTGTTGGCTGCCTCATGTACCTGATGACCTGCACACGACCTGACCTTGCATACCCTCTGAGCATTCTTGCACGCTATGTTGCTCCTGGGAGACACCGACCAGAGCACATGGCTGTAGCGAAGAGGGTGTTGCGCTACCTATGCAGTACGTCGGGCATGGGGCTAGTGCTTGGAGGGCGGAGTCTAGTGGTCCTTACAGGGCACGCGGACGCTTCTTGGGCTGACGGCCAGGCTACGCAGCGGTCGTCAGAGGGTTACACCTTCAGTCTTGGTTCCGGCTCTGTCTCGTGGCGGGCTACTCGCTCGTCTTCGGTTCTCAGCTCCAGTTGTGAGGCTGAGATCTATGCTGGGGCCATGGCTGCACAGGAGCTTCGCTGGCTCACCTACCTGCTGACTGACCTTGGAGAGCCGCCTCGTTCTCCTCCAGTGCTGTACGTAGACAACAAGGCCATGCTGGCCTTGTGTCGAGAGCAGCGTCTGGAGCACAGAACGAAGCACATTGCTCTTCGCTACTTCCTTGCTCGTGAGCTGCAGCAGCGTGGACAGTTGCGGCTTGCGTACGTGGCCTCTGAGGCCAACACTGCTGATGTGTTCACCAAGGCACTCGCGCCTTGTGACCATCAGCGCCTCTGCACCCAGCTGGGTCTTGTGCCTGTCTTGCCTCACTTGCTCTCCTCTTGACTTTACTTGTACTGTGACATATATATACCTACTCTTGCTTGTCTAGTTTTATATATATATGTCTGTACTCCTGCATGTGAACTGGCCACTGGCCCTGCTCTTGTGCTCGGACTGTGTGGTGACGTTGTGATCCACCCTGAGCTTGCTCTGCTTTGCTTTACTTGACTGGTCTTGTGACCCCTTGTTCTCCCCCACTTTGCCTATGGGGGTGTGTCAGATTTATATGACATAGTTTCTATAGGCTATAGTGGGGTAGCACATATGGGGTACAGGGTTTCTAGGGTTGTATTTGTACCCAATCTTTCCTTAGTCATTTCATTCTTGTTTACTTGTTTCACAATAACTATAATAAAATATAGGAAAGCACCTAGCCTAGGAAATCAAGCAATTCCTGCATGCATATGATTATCCTATGCTAGAAATAGCATGATAAAGTAGAGGCAAGCAAGCATAGCTGGCATAAGCCGTCGTACTCTCAGAATGGCTGCACAGGAGCTTCGCTGGCTCACCTACGTGCTGACCGACCTTGGAGAGCCGCCTTGTTCTCCTCCAGTCTTGTACGTAGACAACAAGGCCATGCTGGCCTTGTGTCGAGAGCAGCGACTGGAGCACAGAACGAAGCACATTGCTCTCCGCTACTTCCTTGCTCGTGAGCTACAGCAGCGTGGACAGTTGCGGCTTGCGTACGTGGCCTTTGAGACCAACACTGCTGATGTCTTCACCAAGGCACTTGCGCCTTGTGATCATTAGCGCTTCTGCACTCAGCTGGGTCTTGTGCCCGTCTTGCCTCACTTGCTCTCCTCTTGACCTTGCTTGTACTCTCACATATATGTATACCTGCTCTTGCTTGTCTAGCTTTATATATATGTGTGTACTCTTGCTTGTGAACTGGCCTTGTGGCCTTGACCTTGTACTCAGACTGTGTGGTGACTTTGTGATCCACCCTGAGCTTGCTTTGCTTTGCTTTCCTTGACTTGTCTTGTGACCCCTTGTTCTCCCCCACTTTGCCTATGGGGGTGTGTCAGAACATTATAGCTTATGCTGTTGTGTAGGCTATAGTGGGGTATCCCATAGGGGGTACAACCCATTTAGGGTTTCCTATATGTACTCACTTCATTCATAGTTGATGCATTTCTCGTTCTGATTCTCACACAACGCCGAAACTTATTACCACTTCGCTGACAACGGTTACGTTACACCTGCACAAGTCAACACCGACGAAGAAAAACACATAGGACCCAATTTCGCACCTGATTCAGAAGCGGGAGACAAAGCTGTTTATCCCGCGGACACTTCACTCCCCCGCTACACATAGAGTGGACTCCAAATCCTTGGCCTCATCACCGCAATTCACGGCGCAGCCATTCCTAAAGAGCATGCGACAGTTCAACACGCTATGGGGGGGGAACATAAGGAAAAATGGCGCGAAGCCATGGACAGGGAGCTAAAGGCACTGGAGGAACGCAACACCTTGAAGGTCGTTCCTATCAGCGTAGCACGGAACAAAATAGTACTCACCGGGAAGTGGGTCTTCCGTGTGAAGACAAAGGCTGACGGCACCATCGACAAGTTTAAAGCTCGCTGGGTCGTACGCGACTTCGACCAAGAACACGGACGCCACTTCACCAAAACATTCGCTCCGGTCAGTCGACACACTTCACTCCGAATCCTCCTTGCGATCGTCGCCATGAAGAAGAAGAAGCTGCGGCAAATCGACGTCGCGAACGCATTCCTCTACGCACCTGTTGACGCAGAAATCTTCGTTGAATTACCGCACGGCTCCAACGGTGAGCCCAATCAAGTCTGTCAGCTGCTGAAGTCGCTCTACGGCATCAAGCAAGCTCCGCGACTATGGCAACAATACCTGCACGCTCGCCTCATTCGCATCGGCTTCAAACAACTACCGCACGATCAGGGCATGTACCGGCTCACGAAGGGCACCGACTACATCCTGCTAATCATCTATGTAGATGATCTACTCTACATCGGCTCGACCGACAGCATCACAACCTGGTTTGAAGGGGAGCTGCAGAAGGATCTCACGCTCACGGTCTCATCTACCGTCACACAGTACCTCGGTCTCAACATCCGAGAAGAAGAAGACGCGATCTATCTCAGCGCCGCGAAATACGCCGACACCATCGCCAAGCGCTTCGCACTCACACCGACCGCCATCTCCATACCGTACTACTACACGACAGGAAACACCAAAGGAGGCTCTACTCTACTCAGGCCCGCCGGCACACACGACTACCAGAGGAAGCTAGGATGCCTCCTTTTTGCAGCCCTCACCTGCCGCCCGGACCTATCATACTTCGCAAGCGAGCTCGCCACCTACCTTAAGAAGCCTGAAGCGGAACATCTGGCAGAGCTCGACCGCGCTCTTCACTACCTCGCCAGCACCCCGACGATCGGCCTAACTTACTACAAGAACGCAACTACACCGCCTAAGTTGATCGGCTACGTCGACGCCGATCACGCTGGCGACTCCGACACCAGGCGCTCTCGCACTGGTTACATCTACCGCCTCGAACCTATCGGACTTATCTCCTGGTAGTCGAGCAAACAGGAGTTAATCGCGCTCTCCTCAGCTGAAGCAGAATATATTGCACTCTGCTCAGCCACCAATGAAGGACTCTACCTTCGCGAACTACTAGAAGAAGCGAAGCTAGCTCAGTTACCCAGCTTCACCCTTTTCTGCGACAACCAGTCAGCAATTCGCATCGCCAATAAGAACGGCTTCGCGAACAGGACAAAACACATCGCCCTGCGGTACTTCTTCGTGAAGGACGAGATTGAGAAGGGAAGACTCGAGCTGTCATACTGCCCCACATCCGAGATGGCAGCTGATTACTTGACCAAGAAGCTCGGAAAACAGAAGTTCGAGTACTGCATGCTGCTGACTGGACAGAGCCACGTCACCAACAGCGACACTCCGGAAGCGAAGGGGAGTGTTGGAAACAATCAAGCTTAAGCGCCTCTGTCGTGTCGAAACACTAAGACACAAGCGAAGCAAAGCATATCGAGGCACCAGCGAGTCAACCCTTGGAGGTTGAAGTAACTGCTGGAGGTTACGCGAAATTCAAAGGTCAGCGACCTTTGACTTGACAAGTACAGCGCGACAGCAAGGACACACAACTGACTCGCTACAGAGCAGATGCCCGAGTTGTCACTGTATCGAACCGCAACAGCAACAGTAAAGTAGTTATAACTGTATCTCTTCATATTCCTTGTACTCTTATATAATCCTGTATCTCTTTGCTTCAATCAACTTACTTTGCTCTCACATACTAGCGCAAGGTGGTTTACAACTCTTCATTAAACGCTTCCGCTACTACATCAGTCCTACCCAGAGTTCACCCCTGCAAAGATCCTAAGGGCTTTTCTCAGCCCAACACTGGTGAGTGCATTCTGTTTTCCCTGCTCATTCTCTTCCCCCGGGCTCACTTTGTTTCTTCCTGTTCACTCTATTTTCCGCTACTTAGTCTGTTCCCCTTTTCACTCACCCCCATTGCCAGCCGCGCAAGGTACATTTCCCAGTCCCAGCACCATGGCCCAGGGTTTATTGCATGCAGTGTAGCAGCCAAGAGTGGCCCAAAAATATTACATTTCTAGCTGTCTTGTTTGTCACGATAGTCAGTTGCCAAGTACTTCCTTTGTAGTGGTCATGTGCATAGCTGCTTCTGAGCAAAGTGTTTGTATTATAACAAAGCATCCAACATCAATATACAGCATGGCCAATCATCATAGTACTATCAAGCAGTCAAAACATCACCACAACCAGATGGTTAGGAGACCTGTATACAAACACAAACCAAGAAATTAGATGTGACATGGCTGAACATCAGGGAAGTATACGGTACGTGATAATGATGAAGGACAAGCAGCCAACACGGGAAAGGATAACGCAAGGTCCCTCGATTTATGCTTACAGTTGAAGAGGGTTACAGAAGAAGGGATGAAAAGAGGAAGGGTGGAATAGAGGGAAAAACTGATGACGGGAGGAACGGCGGGGGAGAAGAACTGCACTCACCAGCACTGCACTCACCAGCACTGCACTCACCAGCACTGCACTCACCAGCACTGCACTCACCAGCACTGCACTCACCAGCACTGCACTCACCAGCACTGCACTCACCAGCACTGCTTTCCCCAGCACTGCAGGGTGGGTGAGTGAGCAGGGAGTGTGAGAAAGAAGGGTGTGTGAGTGAGAAGGGTGTGTGAGGTAACGGTGGGTATGGTGTAATGGGGAACGGAAAGAAGGTCAAAGAGTGTCAGGTGCGACCGGGGCAGAGAGGAGAGGGAAGGGCTGTCGGTAGAGACAGATCGATGAAGCTTCGATGGGCAGGAGTGCTGCACCTGCAAGCAAGGGACATCGTTGTGACAACTACAGCATTGACTATGGCAATCCCCCCTATTGGCGCCCACTGCTTCTTGTCGGTGGTGTGTGGTATGCCACCAATTCCTTGAAGGCTGCTGCTGCCGCCCACAGAGGGTCTTAGGGCATAGGGTATGAGGACCCTGGGCAAGGGGCATGGGGAACAGGGCAACAGAGGGTAGGAAGAGGGGAAAAAGGATGAACGGGAGAAGGGGAATGGAGGGGCAGACCAGGAGGGAAAGATAGGCGGGGTAAGAGAAGGGGAGGGACATGGGCGAAAGGGAGGGAAGAACAAGGGGGAAAACGGAGGGAAGGAGAAGGGGAAAGGGAGGGAGGGAGAATGGTTTAGGGAGGGAGGGAGAAGGGTGTGAGAGAGGGACAGGTGTGAGAGAGGGATGGGTGGGTGTGAGAGAGGGATGGGTGGGTGTGAGAGAGGGACGGGTGTGAGAGAGGGATGGGTGTGAGAGAGGGACAGGTGTGAGAGAGGGATGGGTGTGAGAGAGGGATGGGTGTGAGAGAGGGACGGGATTGATTGAGGGAGCGAGAGAGCGCGGTGGCATCGTTCTCGCGTGAGGAGAGTGAGAGAGCAACGGGTGAGATCGCGGGACGACAGTGACTGCGGAACGGGTGGGAGTGACGGGTGCTACGAGGTGAGCGAGGAAGGGAGCAGCGAGGAGAGGAACGGAGCAGCGAGGAGAGGAACGGAGCAGCGAGGAGAGGAACGGAGCAGTGAGGAGAGGAACGGAGCAGCGAGGAGAGGAACGGAGCAGCGAGGAGAGGAACGGAGCAGCGAGGAGAGGAACGGAGCAGCGAGGAGAGGAACGGAGCAGCGAGGAGAGGAACGGAGCAGCGAGGAGAGGAATGGAGCAGCGAGGAGAGGAACGGAGCAGCGAGGAGAGGAACGGAGCAGTGAGGAGAGGAACGGAGCAACGAGGAGAGGAACGGAGCAGCGAGGAGAGGAACGGAGCAGCGAGGAGAGGAACAGAGCAGCGAGGAGAGGAACGGAGCAGCGAGGAGAGGAACAGAACAGCACCTTCTCACAGCACCTCCCTTCCCTCACAGCACCTCCCTTCCCCCTCTCATCTCACCTCCCAACCACGTCTGACCTCACCTCCCTTTCCACTCCCAGCACCTCTCTTCCTCATCTCACATCACTTATTTCCCCCCTGCTAGCACCTCCATCCCCCCTATCTAAGAACCTCTCTTCCTCCTCCGTACTCAGACACCTTTCCCCCTCCCCTCACCTACCTTCACCGGCCTTCTCTCCTCCCTACCCCCTCCCTAAGCTCATCTTTTCCCCCTCTCACATCACATCTGTTACCCTTCTCAACACATCCCCTCCCCCTCTGAACTCACCTCCCTTCCCCCTCCCACAACACCTCCTCTCACCCTATGATGGCACCACCATTCCCCTGTCTGACCTCACATCCCTTCCCCATTCCCTCTCATTCCGCCATTTTCCATCACACGCTTCTCATTGCGCCATTTTCCACCATTTCGCCTCTCATTCCGCCATTTTCCACCATTCCGTCTCTCATTCCGCCATTTCCCACCATTTCGCTTCTCATTCCGCCATTTTCCACCATTTCGCCTCTCATTCCGCCATTTCCCACCATTTCGCCTCTCAGTCCGCCATCTCCCACCATTTCGCCTCTCATTCCGCCCTTTTCCACCATTTCGCCTCTCATTCCGCCCTTCTCCACCATTTCGCCTCTCATTCCGCCATTTTCCACCATTTCGCCTCTCATTCCGCCATTTACCGCCATACCGCCGCTAATTCCGCCATGTACCGCCATTCCGCCACTAATCCCGCCATCTGCCGCCATTCCGCAACTAATTCCACCATATACCACCATTCCGCCACTGATTCCACATGAAATAAATCTGCAAATCCGTCGAGCTCACTTGCTAAAGGCAGAGGAGGAGTGCGAGGCAACCCGGATACTGGCAGCTCCACGACGAGAGTGGATAACAAGGATTGGCCTTGGTGCCTTCTAGATTGTGACGTCTGCGTGCTGGGGAATCACGGTGCACAATGTAAACGAGGTGATGTAGAGCAGGTGTTACGGGTGCAATGAATCGAAGTAGCGAGAATTGCACTAAGGTGTCAAACGAGTACAAAATGTGAGCGAAGGCATGAGCGAACATTTATACGCGAAACATGCAAAACGGTAACGCGGTGCGTGCGAGCTTGCTAGTGCTACGCTGGAGCGAGGCTCGGGCTAGTCCCGAAGCGTAGGCCGATACGGCCATGCCAGCAGTGCGGGGTTTGGCAAAACAGTGCGCGCGAAGTCGGCGAAGTTCCGTTAGCAGTAACGGGCGAACAATCGACTGTTGCCGTACGCGATGTAGTCGGCTCCGTAAGGAATGCCGAGAAAATTCCTTACACTACCCCCCCCCCCTTAAGAAGCCCCCTCCGCTACGCGAGTGCGTGTATATCGCGGAATCCCCGGCTCCTCAGGTACACTTGCAGGGCAGGGTGATTTTCGATGTTGCTCAGGGGCACCTTGTCAGAATAATATATAAATCTATATATTGTTTTGTAACTGCCTGTAGTGTAGACTACTGTAGTTATACAATATTCTGTTTGGTGGTGCACCTTTCTTCTTGCCTATATGTATTTCTCTCTCTATAGTGAAACCCCCTCCTTCTCTTTTCAACTTCCTCGACTCTCAAACTACTCGAACTCAATCAACCAAGGCTCCTAACTAGCTATGGCTCCTTAGCCTAGCTCAAGCCTTGCTAGCATTCACCTACTTATTTTCACACACCTAGCTATCTTCAGTTGCCGTGCGGTCTTTCCAGCGAACGAGGAATTCAATCCTCCTGATTCCCGTGGGGTGGCGGATCCGATGGCTCAGAATTTTTTCGGGCTCGATGATCGGCTCTGATGCAGGGCGAGTCATTGATTGTGGCCGGTGACGCGGCAGTTGACTTGTGGTCGGGATGTATGGGCGAAGTAGGCTGACGTGGAACGAAGGGCTGATGTACCAGTCGGTTGGCAACAGTAGTGTGGAAACAAAGAACGAGAATGAAATGACTATGAACGAAGTGAGTACAAATAGGAAACCCTAATTGGGTTGTACCCCCTATGGGATACCCCACTATAGCCTACAGAAACAAGTAAGCTATAAGTTCTGACACACCCCCATAGGCAAAGTGGGGGAGAACAAAGGGTCACAAGACCAGTCAAGCAAAGCAAAGCAAAGCTCAGGGTGGATCACAAAGTCACCACGCATTCCGAGCACAAGTTCAAAGGCCACAAGGCCAGTTCACATGCAAGATCATATATAGAGATATACAAGAACAAGAGTATATATATGCGAAAGTACAAGCAAGGTCAAGAGGAGAGCAAGTGAGGCAAGACAGGCACAAGACCCAACTGCGTGCAGCAACGCTGATGATCACAAGGCGCAAGTGCCTTGGTGAAGACATCAGCAGTGTTGGCCTCAGAGGCCACGTACGCAAGTCGCAGCTGTCCACGCTGCTGTAGCTCACGAGCAAGAAAGTAACGAAGAGCAATGTGCTTCGTTCTGTGCTCCAGTCGCTGCTCTCGACACAAGGCCAGCATGGCCTTGTTGTCTACGTACAGGACTGGAGGAGAACGAGGCTGCTCTCCAAGGTCGGTCAGCAGGTAGGTGAGCCAGCGTAACTCCTGTGCAGCCATAGCCCCAGCGTAGATCTCAGCCTCACAACTGGAGCCGAGAACAGAAGACGAGCGGGTAGCCCGCCACGAGACAGAGCCGGAACCAAGGCTGAAGGTGTAACCCTGTGACGACCGCTGCGTAGCCTGGTCGTCAGCCCAAGAAGCGTCTGCGTGCCCAGTGAGGACCACTGGACTGCGCCCTCCAAGCACTAGCCCCATGCCCGACGTACTGCACAAGTAGCGCAACACCCTCTTCGCTGCAGCCATGTGCTCTGGTCGGTGTCTCCCAGGAGCAACAAAGCGTGCGAGAATGCTAAGAGGGTATGCGAGGTCAGGTCGTGTGCAGGTCATCAGGTACATGAGGCAGCCAACAAGCTCTGGGTACGGGCCACTCGACTCTACGGACTCATCCGAAGGCAGAGCTGAGAGCGAGTGGCGAGTAGGCAGAGGAGTGGCCTGAGGCGAGGAGTACGTGAAGCCGAAGCGCTGAAGGACCTGCTGCACCATGTGTGACTGAGTCAGGGTAATGGTGCGGCGTGCTCTGTCCCGGGTGATCTGCAAGCCAAGGTAGCTGCGCAGTTCACCCAGGTCAGTGCACGTGTGTCTCTTCTGCAGTTCGGACTTCACGTAGGCGAGTCCAGCAGTGTCAGCTGTGGCAAAGACCAAGTCGTCGACGTACACGAGGATGTAGAACGGCGGCAGAGAGGTGTCGGTGCGCAGAAACAGCGACGGGTCGGCAGTGGAAGGAGCAAACCCAAGTGCCGCGAGCGTAGTCCTCAGTGTGTCGTGCCACTCACGTGGCGCCAAGTGGAGACCGTAGACTGGACGCCGGAGACTCCACTGGGTACCAGGAGGGAAAGACCCAGTGAAGCCAGGTGGGCGACGCAGCCAGATCTCCTCGTGCAGGCTGCCCTGCAAGAAAGCTGTGCTGAAGTCGAGAGAGTGCAGCTCGTAGTCACGGTGAGCAGCAACGTGTAGCAGAACCCGAAGAGTGGTCATCTTCGGGGTGGGGGAGAAGGTCTGAAAGTAGTCAACCCCCTGCCGCTGACTGAAGCCACGAGCCACGTAACGCGCCTTGAAGACAGGCGGAGAACCCGGCGGCCGCTTCACCCTGAAAATCCACATGCCACTGACGATGTTCGCCCCAGGAGGGGGAACAGCGTCAACGTAGGTGCCTGTGGACTTCCAGGAAGCCATCTCTGCATCCATAGCTGCCTGCCACTGAGAGGAGTAGGGACCCTCTATCGCCTCCGCGTAAGAGCGCGGAGTCGGGATGTCTGGTGCATCCGGGTCTCCCTCAGGGGCTAGCAGTACAGACGCGAGACGAGGTGAAGCGGCGGCCAGACACTGGAACTCCTCCTGCCTGTCCTCAAGGACGTCCGTGCCAAGGGCACACTCACCCCCGACGGACGGAGGACAGGCGGACTCAGACCCAGTGACAAGACGAGCAGCGTAGTCTAGACGACAGCGCGCAGCAAAGTCGACAAGCTCAGTGACAAGGGCAGACGCAGCAGACGACTCGAAGGAGGGGTCAGTGACAGCAGTAGCCAGGAGACGCGTGACAGTAGGACTGGCAGCACGAAGGGCGTCCGACTCCGGGTCGGCAAGAGCAGGAAGAGAGGAAGCAGGAGGAGAAGGCAAAGGGGCACGCAGAGGAGCAGTGGACGGACGCAGTGACATCCGGTGCGTGCCAGGGACAGGAGGAGGACGCTGACGCGACCCGCGACCACTAGCGCGCTCAGTACGAACAGGCGACACAGGACGAGACGCAGGCTCACGACGCTCAGTAAGACCTCCAGTCGGACCAGCGTAGGGAGAAGGAGCAGGCAAAGGGGAGGCAGGCTGTAGCTGTGGCTGTGACCGGACAGGCTGCGGACCCTCGAAGGGAGGAGGAGGAGGTGTAAGACCAAGAACCTGCTGCAGGAGCGGAACGAAGTACGGTCGGGGCCGCGCGGCGACGCTAGAAACAGCAGGAACAGCACCAGCAGCCCCGGCAGGAGCACCCACTCCAGTAGCACCTCCAGCAGCACCACCAGAAGCTCCAGAACCTCCAGCCGCAGCACCAGGAGCACTGTCAGTCGGGCCGCCAACGGCAGGCTCAGCGCCAACACCCTCAGCAGGACCAGCTCCAGGAGAACTCTCAGACTCAGCAGCTCCAGCACCCACAGTACGAGCGCCGGCGGGGCGCGCAGCAGCAGTACCCTCTGCAGCCGAAGAACCACCAGCACCAGCAGCACGCCTCCAGCGCCCGGCAAACCACTCACGCAGCTCCTGTGGGGAGAGTGGCTCCCGGCGAGACGAAGCACCCCCAGGCACAACACCTCCAGGCTCAGCACCCCTAGACACAGCACCCCCAGGCACGTCACCCCCAGGCTCAGCAACCCCAGGCTCAGCACCCCCAGACTCGGCACCTCCAGGCTCAGCACCCCAGACTCCGCACCCCCAGGCTCAGCTCCCGCAGCAGCACCAGAGTCACCAGTGACCTCGACAGGCTCGACC